ATGGGGGGACCCGTGGGGCAGGAGCTCGGGGGAATGGGGGGACCCGTGGGGCAGGCACTTGGAGGGTCTCAGGGGACCCATGGAGCAGGAGCAGGAGTGGGGGGGAAGTAGCAGAGAATAGCAGGGGGACATGTTAGATCCTGTCTCTAATGTCTGATTCCCTGAATGAAGCCGTGGTCCCATTCTGGGTTCGGTGGCTTGCAGGGCTTTGGAGCTGTGCTCTGGCTCCGCTCCAGCTCTAGGCAAAAACCTACTGCTCCGGAGCTGCTCCTGCTCCAGGCTCCGCTCCAAAGCCCTGGTGGTTTGTATTGGTGGGAGCCAGGGAGGTGGCAGGGTTATGGGTGGGGCGGTGGGCCTCCTGCGTGGTGCTGACTTTGCCTGGGTTTGTTGGTGCTGCAGGCTTGGACCATGAGCAGGCCTTCTCCAAGATCATCGTGGAGCTGCGGAAGAAGCACCCAGGCCACATCCTGCCGGACGAGGACCTGCAGTGGGTGTTTGTCAACGCGGGCGGGTGGATGGGCTCCATGTGCCTGCTCCACGCCTCGCTCACCGAGTACGTGCTGCTCTTCGGGACGGCTGTTGACACCGGGGGGCACTCGGGTAAGCAGGGCTCAGCTGCATTCAAGCAGAGAGGCTCGGGTTGGGTGGGGGGCTGCTGCCTTTGATTTCCTGTGGTAAACCATCAGGGGGACAGCAGGTGTCTGGGGCAGGGGAGCTGCAAGTCCCAGCCAGGTAGCGCCAAGATGCACTTTGATCCTTCGCCGAAACAGAAGCAGAGGCTGGACACATCAATGTGGTCAGCAGCACTATCCCTCCACCTTGTACTGCCCATTAGCTGTTGCTAGTGCTGATGGTCTGGGGACCATGAGTCAGTCTGGCCGCACCTGCTCAAGCTAGTGCTCACAGAGGTATGCTGTTGTGTGTGCACAGCTCTGTACCTTAACAATGACATGCTAGTTAATTGAGAGGGGAGGAGATTTCTCTAGCCAGATGCAGAGAGCTGGAAGGTCTTGGAGAACCAGGAGAGCAGAAGTATCAGGAACTTTATTCCCTGGAGCTAAGAGCTAGCCTCTCCGGATGCCGCTTTCTGTCTGTGCAGTCCTGGCCCTGTCTCCCACTGGGCATTGCAAGCAGTGGAGAGAAGCAGCCAAGGATAAGACAAGGAGGTGGTTATCCTTGTGCTTGTGTGTCCTGTCCAGATGGCTGTATTTACTATAGGTCCATCCGAGGTGGGCTCAGGGTTTTCTGATCATTTAATAGTCCTGTGAGCGGTCTTTGGTAGCTGCCCGTGTTTAAGCCCCTGTGTCCTGTTGACTGACTCAGGTCACAGCAACCTCTCCCAAAAGGCAGAGAGGGCAACAAACCAGGGTAACTGGCTAGCAGGATTAAAAGGGGCTAAATCCTCCATTGTATGATGTATCAGTACAACAGAAGCATCTTCTCTCCCGGGGGTGGTGGTAATGTCTAGCTCTGGTCTCGCACTCGCCATCCACACACTTTACAAGGAGGGGAGGGTCCGTGTTGCTCTCCCCAGTGTACAGATGGGGAAACAAGCACAGAGAGGGGCAGCTGGCAGGTCCATGGCAGAGGTGAGAACGGACCCCAGGTCTCCCGAGTACAGCCCAGTGCCTGGTTCCTTAGGCCAGTACATCTCTCAGTGGGTGGTTCCAGGAGCAGGCTTGGTGCAGCGCCTGCCGGTGTCGTTTCATACACATTAATAGTCAGCAGCCACAAACCAGCTTCACCTGCTCAGCAAGCAGAAGCTTTTCCCTGTGGGTGCAGCTTGTTTTCCGCCCCCCATGTTAGCGTGAGAACAGGGAGCGGGGAGCGGGAGGCCTTAATATCCAGGTCTCCAAGACCTTGTGCAACAATCCCTTCCAGCCACAGCTTGGATCTGGCTGCTTGTTGTGTCCCCATGGGCCCTGCCAAAAGGACCCCGCCCACCCGTGTGCTGCCACTTTCCGCTCCCCTCTCCATGCTGCCCCCTATGCATAGAACTTCCCAGTGCCTTGCCCACAAGAGTGGCTGGGTCGGGGGTGGAAGGTTGCCAAATCGCTGCTTGTGGCAACCGAGTTGAGCCTGCCTTCTCCTCTTCCAGCGTCAGCACCACAGGGCGTACAAGCATGGGTGGCCTTGGCTGCAGCATCCACAAACCTTGCGGAGTCTGGCGACGTGGGTTAACCAATGTGATTCAGTCCCAAGCCACGGGGAGTCTTTCCATTGACTTCAAAGGGTGCTGAACCAGGCCCGCAAAATTGTGGCCAGGCATCTTGTCTCAGAGCAGCCCAGCAAAACCTGTACTGCTCCCCTCGAGGCTTCTAGCCCAAGCAGGTCCCGAGCAACAGGACTTCAAAGTGCCAGTGTTGGGGTTCCCATCTCGCTTGGCTTTTCCCCTCCGTTTCAGAGGGGTTTATGCAGCTGGCCTCTCAACAGCAGCTGCAGCCAGAAACCCAGCACACTTTGTTTTTTACAGACCAGCCTCCCAGCTTCCAACCAGCGAGTGGTGGGTCTTCCCTCTGGTGGCTAGCGAGGGCTTGGCTGCCAAGCTCTGAAATTGAGGGTGGAGCTCCAGCACTGAGAAATGCCTGGTGTGGAAATGATGTGGCTTGAGATCTCTGGGCTGCCAGGGATAGGAGCACCCCAATTCCACTGAGAACCAGCAAGCTGGGATGTGTTGCAAGGTCCTGGACTTGGCCCAGGGCCCTGTCAGGGCTCTTTGACATTGGTCCAAGACTGAAACTAGCAATTCCAGGCACTTGGAATAGCGTAAACCACCACTCCCTACCCATATGAGTGTTGAAGCCTGCTGATGTTTTAGGTTTGTTCTGTGACAGCTGAGCCAACGCACAGAGCAGCCCTCGGGGCTCGTCGGGCGCTAGCAGTGGGCTGTGTTGCCCCATTGCTCAGATTTCACGTGTGTGCCTCTCTTGCAGGTCGGTACTGGGCTGACATTTACTACGCCATCATCTCAGGGACCTTCAGGCAGTGGAAGGAGGGGACGACCAGAAGTGAAATCTATTACCCAGGTGCGTGTGGCACTGTCGGCGTCAGCCCCACACACTCGCGCTCGGAGGCCTCCCCTGGGTGGCTGCCTTTGCAGGGCTGGTTGCCTTGGGCTTTTCACATAGCGATTTGAACAGGTAACACTAGAGCCTCGTTAGCTGTAGCCCTGGGACACGGGGAAACATACAGGGGACAGCAGATTAGCCTGCAGAACACCACACCCCTAGATCTCATGGAGGCCAAGAGGCGAGCAGGATTCAAGGAAAGCGTACACGCTGACGGGTAACGAGCACATCTCCACTCCCAGCAGGTGATTAAAAGAAAATGGAGAGGGTTATAAAGCCCCCTGGTTCAGAGCAGGAGCTGTGGGTCAGGAGGAAACTGCCCCTGTGGGAAAGCTGTTCCATTATTTTCCACTAGGAGACGTCCTTGCATCTTCCTTGGGAGCAGCTGGTACTGGGCACTGTCAGGGACAGCCTTTTGGATTAGCTGCCCTGCCCTTGGACTGGCAGTGAGCGCCTCCCATGCCCCTTGTCCTGGGCTGCTCAGTGGAGGGCGCTCAGCACCCTGCAGGATCAGGCCCACAAAGAGCTCTGTGTGCTGTCTCTGGAGACATACTGGGAGAGGCGCTCTGGAACCAATGTTGTTCTGGCATTCAGAATAACGGCCAGTGCTCTGTTTGTCTATCTGCCTGCAGGGGACACCATAGTGCAGAAATCCGGAGAGGCCACGGCTGTCCAGTGGAGCGCCGGCACCTGGATGGTGGAGTACGGCCGTGGCTTCATCCCCCCCTCGCTCGTGTTTGTGTTGGCCGACACCATCTTCAGCACTCAGGACGTTGTCACCTTCTTCTACACCCTCCGGATTTGTGCCAAAGCCTTACTCCTGGAAGCCGGTACCTACTTCAGCCACCTGGCCCAGTGAGACCACCCTCCGCAAGCACCAACACAACCTCAAAGGAAGGGATTCCCCTTTCCCATCCCCCACCACCTCCTGCCGATTGTACTGGAAAGTCAGTGGGCAAGAGCACCTCTGTCCCCATGTGCAGGCGTGCCAGGTGGGCTGACCGTTCGCCGTATCCGCCTGCCGCAGCGAGCACTCAGCCGGACGAGAAACCGGCAATAACGGATAATGGATAAACGTAGATTACTATTTTTTTAATATCCAAATGTTCCTCTATATTTCTGTAACTAGACTGCAGCGACTGAGCTGCCGTGTGTGTGTGTGTGTGTGTGTGTGTGTGTGTGTGTGTGTGTGTGTGTGTGTGT